GTGATTGAAAATAGACTTCTAGAAAGTTAGCTTTTCTAACTCTTGGAGTACTGCGCTTCTTCACTTCTCACTTTTCAATTTAAAAATCTGTATTTAGTGTAAGATTATATTTCTTTAGTGTTTTTAATATTAATTTTGCCTATTCAAGTCATTACAATGGGCTCCGATCTGGCTGATGGAATAAGAAATTTATTAGTTTAAAACTTCTCTTGCATTTAGAAGCAATTAGGACCTCTGTCATGGATTTCAGTGAGGTCATAATGTTGTTCTTTTAGCGTTTGCGTACAACTCTTGTGGGAAGTATGGTATAACATTTTAAGTGTCATCTGTTTAGAAACGTGCTAATCAGACACACCAACAGGTTTCTCTGGGCCTTCCTGAGTGCTTTTAAAAGTTATGTGAGGATGATACAAGGGGAAGGTGTGGAGTCTTCATATGGGGGTGGCCTCTGTTGTGTACCTTTCAAGTGGAAGGATGGAAGCAAATATTTGACTTTCTGGCTTTTCCAAGGTATAATCTCCGGAAAGAAAATTTGAGAGTTTGCTAGATAGGTTGCAGTATGAGTGTTACGATGTCTCAGAGGTCCTGGGTGTGAATAGAAGGTAGGAGAGCCAGTGGGATATGGCCAGTGGGAGACATGATGCTGAGCAGGAACAGAAGGGATTTGAGGTCTGGTAGGAAGCAGATCCTTGATAACACATTGCAGTTTGCTATTAGATAGCAACAAGAGTATTGCTATCTAAATGGGAACAGCAGCAATGAAGCACCCTTCACTTCCTCACTCTCATGTTCTGTGATTAGATTTTCGACCCTGCCATTGTTGCCCTGCAGGTAGGCCTGCCGAAGGTATGCAATTCCTCTGGGGGGTTCTTCTGTAGGACTGAATTTATCAACTCTTTCTCTGCTCCACACCAACCTTGTCTTTCTCTCTCCCCCCTAGCTTCCACTTCCAGGTCTCCTCCTTCCTGTTTCTAATATCTCTCAGGCTGTTGCTCTTGTCTATTTGCAAACCTCTAGCGGGAACTATATTCTGTTTATTTTTAAAGAAAAAAAAATAGGCATTTTTAAAGCATACTCTCGGTTATGCATTATCTGTTTTTTCCTCTAAAGAGTTTCTTGGGTCTAAAATCCTAGCTATGTTTATCTCAATTTTTTGGTCTCATTTCCTCTAGTGTTTTTTGGGTGTTGTAAACTTCTAGGCAGTCTTTTAAGTGGAATAAAAAGAATACACAAACCACATCATCTAGCTGCTGGTATTATACAGAAAACGAAACCACTGGACTCATGAGAAAAGCAATTGGGTCTGTGGCTAGTAAACTGAAGTAATGAAATTGATTTTGATAAGAATCTGCTCCAGATGAAAAAAAAACTCTGTCTTGTTCCAGTTCATTATAATTATATCAGTAAGCTAACTAGTTAATTTGGAGGGAATTTAAAAGGATTTAGATAGGGATTTTTAAAAGTAGAAAAGATTTTGCTTTTCATCTCCAGAGATAGGCATAAGATGCCGAGATAGAAAGTTTAAAGGATTGAAAATGGTAGCATTCAGAATAAAGCAGTTCAGGTCACTAAAAAGTATTTCCTTGGGTTTTATTATTTACTGTAAAGTATAAAATAATTTTTCCAAATTCTGATTTTCTTAATTATTGCATGTTATGTCAAACAGTTCTCCTGTAGATTTTGTAGTAAATTATTCATTGTTATCCATTTTATTACTTAAATAATAGAATGCAAAGAATTTAAGTAATCTGCAATATACTTCCATTAAGACCTATATTTAGGGAAGTTTACATAGATAATGATGTTGATTAACAAAAAGAAATACAAAATTCAGCACAGTTATATTTATTTCCAAACAAAGGTATCTTAATATCCTAAGTGGAGTATCAGCTTATTTAGGTGTCCAACTAAAATGTGTACACTTTCTGTATCTCTTCACATTGGTATAATTTACTTTAAGAAACAAAAGAGTCTAAAGAATTCATTTATTCTAATTTACTAACCTCAGTCACCATTAAAATAATTCACTAATAACACTTTTATTAAAAAAAAATAAATCCCCAAAGCATTTTAAGCCATGTAAGGAAATGAATATAGGCACCAAAAATAATATACTCTATAAATTTTCTCTGTATTTCTTAACTACTGTTGTGACAGTTTGTGATTGAAAATAGATACTTCTAGATAGTTAGCTTTTCTAACTTCTGGATTATTGCTTTCCTTTAGCTTTTTAGGTTATTTAACATTTATAAAAAATGTGTACAGGGCTTAAGTGCAGGAGCATCTTCCATAATTTCAAACTGCGCATATGGAGGATGTCAGAAAGGATCAAACTCGTAGTTGCTCTTCAGAAACAGTATGGTGTATTACTGAGTTAAATTATCATTATGATTAGCACCCAGTAATCCCAAGTATTGTGATGAATATCACTCTGGTGAAATACTGTTGTAATTTCAGAATTCTTACAGTATTCCTACTATTCTTTCAGCATTTCCCCCTAAATTTCTCCCTAAATCCTAAATTTCATGTTTGGAGTACTTTATCTTCATAGGAAAAAATTGAAAATAAACTGCCTTGGTGGAAATCTCCACCCAACCTTCACTCCAGCCAACCTTCACCTACAAATGTTTCTAAAATATAGTTATCATGACAAGGACTCTACTGTGACACAAAAGAAAATTGGCATAGGAGGTAAAGCAAAAAATATAAATAGGATGGGAATTTTGAAGTATGATCAAGAAACTGAAAGAAGATTGATTCATTCTTTTAATGTTGAAATATGAGATATTCACGTATATGCTTAGTGTTAAATAGTGATATTTTGTGGAGGGTATCCCCAGCGTAAGGTGTGGAGGCTTTCACCTGCTATGTGTGTCTGTATCATATCAAAAGGCAACTTGTATTGAAAGTTTTTCCTTTAGTCCCTCTTCCACGCACACAAAAAGGCTTTTAGCATGTTGCTCCCCAACATGCTTTGAAAGCAATAATTAAGATATTACTTAAAGAATATTGTGTCACTTGGATGTGAGGGAGGGTCACAAGATCTTTTCTTTTATTGTTCTGTTCTGCACCTCATCATTGGACTACATGATTTATAAAAACCTTGATGTCTTTTCAAAATGCTTCATGTCGGTGGGCAAGAGGCAAATGTTTTTTCTGAATATTTAAGCAAACAGGATGTTTGACTCAAGCATCGCATTTGATAAAATACTTGCAATACACCTTGGGTGTAACAAACCAAGTTAGCAATTAACTCTTGTGGTGCACCTCCAGAGCAGCTCATCTAACTTTTTGCCTTGCAGTGCATTAATCTGGGGAAGTGATTTTGCAGGGTCATTGTGTGGGCATTGACATCCTGTTCTTTCTTGTGAAAAAGAAATTATTATTTTCAGCAATTTCCTATAAACTGAAGTGTCAAACTTGTGCTACTTTTATAACACAAGTTCTAAAAGCCCTTTGAGACATGTGGTCCAACGGAGTTGGTAGCATGCAGGTCATGTGTGGTTGTGTCTAAATAACACCAGCAGAGCTTACCTTTGGCAGTGCAAGGCTTCAAAGTGATACTCACATTCCTTTTAACCAAGCAAATGTGTACCACAGTGTATTTGAAATACACTTTTTTTCTTTTCATTCAGTCTGCCTAATTTATTGGCCAGTGCCACAAGAAATCCTATTTTAAAAGCCTCATATTTACTCAGTTGCTAAAAAAGAAAAATTTTACGCACTCACACACACATTGTTTAACTGTTGTGGGATGCCCTGTTTTGGCCTGCTGAAGTTCAAGAACAAATATTAAAATCTGTTTTATAAAGATTGGCTAAATTTGAAGTGTGGATGGGGGATATTTACCAATAGCTATTTTAGAAGTTTTTATGGTTTGTGCTTTTTTCTTCTTTCTAAAAGAATGAAGAATAAATGGATGACGTAAATGAGCAAAATTATTAGGATGTTGTTGCATGACATGAATAACAAATGCTTCTAGCTGTGACTTCAGATAGCTGAAGACAGGATACAGTTAATGTAGTTTATGTAAATTAGGTGTGCTAGCTGAAGGATTAGATCTACTTAAATTAATTGTAAAGTGATCATTACTGTTCCAAATATAATGGCTTATGCTTTTCAATCTTTGGTACATTTTTCCCTCGTATTTTTTTGTAAGTGTGTGTGGTATATGTATAAACATTAATAACTGGTCCATTTTCAAGTTGCCATGTTTTAATATAAAATATGATGTTTCTGAACAGTTTACTCCTGAGTTTAATCTATTGTGGGTCATATTTCTTTTAAATTTTCAGAGAAGTATGTTTCATGAATGCAGTAATTGTTCGGTTTGGTTTGTTGTTTGGTTTTTTTTGTTTGTTTGGTTTGTTTTTTTTGGTTTTTTTTTTTGCTATTAGTTATAGCTTTATGTCTTTTAGTCATTTAAGAATGGTTGGTTTTTGTGGATTAATAATAGAGGGGAGTTAAATCTAGAAAAACTGAGACTTTTTGCATGGTAGCACATGCATGTGTGTAGACATGAATATCCGATATACTGCATGAAAGCATCTACTCAGCTATTTATAGGATCAGCTCCTGGAAAAAAAGGTATCCTTCTTTCTATGATAAATTATAAACTGAAGACAATACATATAATACATGCATAGTTCCCAAAATTATTTGTTGCATCTCAGTTTCATCAAAATTAGTTAAACACGAAAATAATTTACATTGAACATTTTTCCTCCAAAAGATGTAATTAACTCAAATAAAAGTAAACTAGGGGTTGTATCTACAGTTTTGATTTAAAAAAAAGATAGAATTCAAAGGATGTAGGGGAAAATGTGGTAGACAATTACAGTTGCCTTTATTTTCTTCTATAGAGCAGATAGATTTCAGGATGAAAGTATTCCTCATTATAGCACTTCTGGCTTTGCTGTTTTATTGCTTTTAAGTCCCTTCATTTTAAGTGCTACCCTAACTTTACTGTCTTATTGTTCGTTATGATCCTTCTGATTCAGGATGCAGAATAGAAAACTGCGACTCCTGCTTTAGCAGAGACTTTTGTACCAAATGCAAAACTGGCTTTTACTCGCACAGAGGCCGCTGCTTTCGAGGATGCCCTCCTGGATTTGCAGCCTTGGAAGAGCTTATGGAATGTGTGGGTGAGTCTTCTAGCACAGCAGTGCTGCTGAAGTAGCTCTTTTGATGGCTGGCCAGGTTCAAATATGGCACTGTTTTTAAGGTGGTGCTTAGTATTTCTTATCAGGAAATACTGACTGATGAATTGTGCTTTGATTTCTTTACTACTACTATTATTAAATTTTCCAAACTTTAAAATGCTGCATTATTGGGAATGCCACTCTGTTGTGCATTAGAAAGTTCATAGAATCATAGAATCATAGAATAGGTAGGGTTGGAAGAGACCTCCAAGATCATCAAGTCCAACCCCTGATCCAACTCCAATTACTATATCATGGCACTAAGGGCCACGTCCAATCTCTTTTTAAAAACCTCCAGGGATGGTGAATCCACCACCTCTCTGGGTAGGCCATTCCAATGCCTGATAACCCTCTCTGTAAAGAATTTTTTCCTAACATCTAACCTAAACCTCCCCTGGCAGAGCTTGAGCCCATGTCCCCTTGTCCTATTGTTGGTTGCCCGGGAGAAGAGACCAACCCCCGCCTGGCTATAACCTCCCTTCAGGTAGTTGAAGAGAGTGATGAGGTCGCCTCTAAGCCTTCTCTTCTCCAGACTAAACAACCCCAGCTCCCTCAGCCTCTCCTCATAGGACTTGTGCTCAAGTCCCTTCACCAGCCTCGTTCTGTCCTTTTGGTTGTAGAATCACCTTGTATGAGGATTTATAACTCAGAATTCATAAGATTTCAGGAATTCTGTCAGAACAGACTCTTCCTTTCAAGAGCATTGCTTGCATTTCATTATGGAGCGGACCTGGAAATGTGAACTTTTGAGCTTTTCAAATCCATGTGACAGCCAACTAGGAATTATTTACTAGACAGAGAAAAAAATAAGTCAATCATTATTTTAGGAGGGTTTTTGAATATTTAGAACTAATGTGACATCTCTATGTAGAGTTTGATAGTTTGATTTTTTTTGCTTAGATTGATGCTAGCAAAAAGATCCTTCCAGGTTCTGTAAAAGATTTTAATTTTGTTTCTAATTTTTGCCTCTTAACAGTAAAACTTTCAAGTATTGCTTCCTAACAGTATACAATGTAATTAGAAAAAAAAAGAAAAAAGAAAAAACCCAAACAAACCAGAAGAATTACTTTTTTCTTTTGCTTTGTCAGAAGGCTGTGAAGTGGGTCAGTGGAGCGAGTGGGGAACTTGCAGCAGAAATAACAAAACATGTGGATTTAAGTGGGGCTTGGAAACGAGAACAAGACAAATTGTGAAGAAGCCAGCGAAAGACACAATACCGTGCCCAACCATTGCGGAATCCAGACGGTGTAAAATGGCCATGAGGCATTGTCCAGGAGGTAAGCGTAGTCCACAAAAATCTTTGTGAGCTTTCCTTAAATTAAATCCTATTTCTAACTTGAAAAAAGAGCTATTTCACCTCAGCTAAACAGGAAATTGTCTCTGTTCTGCCAGCCAAGGCTGAAAGGCAGCAATACTACTTCAGTCCTAGTCTATATAGCAAGACTTCAGGAAAACACTCAGTGTAGGAGTGATCAGTCCCTCGGGAGACTGTGAAACTGTGCTTCTCTTGGTGTGGTATCAAGGCTTTTTCAAAGAGGTGCCTCATGGAAGAACCATAACAGGTGGCAATTTGAGCTTCAGCATTAAAACCACGCTGGTAGTGGAATAATTGTTCTGCACATGGCAGGAAAGTTGAGGATTGTAAACCTCTCTGCGAGTGGCACACCCACTGCTGGTGTGATGGGTAAATTAAAAGAAGTTAGTTGCACATGGCATTCTTAGCTGCAACTATTAGCTGGAATATGTTATTTATTTTGAATATTGTAGGTCGGGGCCAAACTGTGGTAGATGTGATACAAGCAGAACTGTGATAGATACCAAGATTTTCAGCATGAGACCAGTTTATGGCAATTACCACAAGTAAATAAAAGACATACTAAAATTTCTTTATCATGGTGTTCTAAGACTTAAGTGATGATGCTGATTTGAAAAAGGAAATTGAGTTTCAAATTTGTGTTCAGTTTTTTAGACCCCAAAGTGGAGACACATCACTGGTAGGGGGTTTTTGTTATCTTTTTAAAGTGTTTTCAGCTGTGCATCCTGAACACAAACAGGTTTCAAAATTTGTAGGAGAGGTGGGTGATCAACAGGTGATAAGGATGCCATTCCTTTTGGAATCATGGGCTTAAAGAAAGATGCAGGCTTGAATGAACTCCAAGAGATCTCTAGTCCAATCTCCTGCTGCTAGCTGGGTCAACTGTGAGATCAGACAAATAAAAAAGGAATAAAGGGTTGAAGAATCCTGAGAAAAGCCATAACCTGATGAATAAAATAAACCAGAAACAGTCTTAGAAAAGGTACATAAATAAGTTTGCTTTGTGTTTTGGGATTGTTTAAGATGTCTGTCTTGGCTTGAACATTCTGTTCACCAGTATGTGTGTATATTATACATAAAGTTTTAGCTTACAGATTAAATCTGTGCAAGCTTCATTTTTGTCTCTAGGACACTGACACAATCTGGAAGAGTATATGAAGTTGATTCTCTATTATCCAGGTTAACAATCTATTACACACTCTGCCTCCCAGTCCCACTCCCTATACTCATAGACCCATGCAAACATAGTGCATAGGCACAGAGGTACTGGGGTACATTGTACAGGACAGTTAATCTGCAACCTAAATAAACTTCTCAAAGACATTGAAGAGTGGAACCTACAAAATGAACATCTCTATAGGGAAGAAAAAGAAAAGGTAAAATGAAGGCTGATTTGGCCTGCTGTGGTATCTATGTCATGGTATCTTTGAATGTGAGTCAGCTGCCTCTACACAAGATAGCTACACTTACTAGTGCTTCCAGCTTGCTGAGTGTTCCAGTTACTTCTAACAAACTCCAAAGCCCAAATGGGGCTAGTGATCAAATCATGTGAGGAAATATTTTACTGCTACAATTTAAGGAAATGAAAAGAGCCCATGTGACATTCTGCAAAATCTCTAATGAGTATTTTGTTTCTCTTTTTTTTTGCTGTTCAAATGCATGAAGTTTAGCTTGTAGAGGAAAACTTGAGAAAATTTCAGAATGTTCTCAATTCAACATCATGTGGACTAAATTTATGTACCCAGTGTGTGAAGAGGGAGATATTTCATGGATGCAGTGCCCAGCTTCTTTATAAACACCTGGCAAGCAGAAATGTGGGTTTAGTCTTGATAACTTAGTTAGCACACAAATTATTCAAATTGTTGTAAATAGTTTGAGAAATGTGCTTAAGTGAACCCTAGTATTTGTGAATACTGTAGCATGCTCATATAACTGTGTTAGTTTGGAGCCGTTGAATGTTCATGCCTTTTTGTGGCAGATTCTCTTAGGCTGTTTCAAGTTCTCTTGTCCAGCAATTCAGGTCACTGCTTGAAGATTTACATCTCAAATTTATCTTTTAAAAGGCACAGTGGCTTTCCTAAGAGTTAGGATATTTATTGTCTAGTCTGTATCAAGATCTTTGATCAAATCTCTGCATTTTTTTTCACTGTGTATCAGGAAAGTTGTTGCTGCAAATACAAATTCAGTGTGAAAGGCTTGTAGTACTCTTTCATGGGCTCTAGTAAATCTTAAAGATTACAGTCCTCTCCTCCCATGGTGTGGAATCCCCTGCATGTGTTTTCAGAGATAAAAATATATATGTACAAAACTGCAGGTTTTCTTCACACTGAATGCCGATGCTTAACCACTTCTATGCCATCATATAAAACACTGCCCACGTGTAAACTCCTTTCTCTCTCCTAAGAAACTCCTGGGAGTGAGTGTGTTAGTGGTGTTTTAAGTGCCTAGGGTATGTTTTCCCCAGACCTCATTATCTTTGCAGGTGAGGAAGCCACAGAGATTGCCCTGTGTAAAACTCCTGCTTTGTAGTATGTTTTCATTACTATATATACAAGACTGGTCTGAGATCCCATTCCTTCATCACGTTTTAGTTAGCAGGTTGCCCCATTAAACACTCAAAATGTTTTGTTGCTTATTTGATCACTGTGACGTGGTGGGAGGCAGAGACACTGGTTACGTAGAAGCTCAAATGAAGCAGATCCTGGCTGCTAAGGAAGAGATTCTGTGTCTTTAAAAAGATATGGTATTTTCCTAATGTTAGGAATTTTGTAATTGAGCTTTTAAACTGAGGAAATAAGAGAAAAAAAAATGTAAGGATAGCACTACTGGGAGACTGAAGAACCATGATCCCTGTAAATGTCAGTTGAGAGGCTCTTAATAAATCCTTTCATCCTAATGTTCTCAGTACAGAAACTCACACAAATGTGGAGAATAAGTATTGGATTATAGAGCTAAGATGGTTGTAGATTGTGATGGATTAAACTGAGCACAGGAAGTAAGGATATTTTTGGTAGAATAGGGTCAAATAAAGTGCTTTTGTCACATGCTTTCTACTTTTGTACGTTTTACAGTTACTATTTTTGGTCCACACTAAAGGAGAACTTCCAAAACAGATTTTTACATGTTTGCAGTAGGAGGTGAATTAAATTCTGTATTCCTACTAAGTACTTCATTTGTTACCCATCTGGCCATATGGCTGTGGTACAACTCTAGTCGATGATAAATTCTTTATCCCTTTCCCAGTAATTCCCAGTATATCCAGAGATACCTGCTGGAATGCAAGTGAAAGCTGATTTCACTTCTTTCCTACTGAAGCCAGCAACAAAACAGCCTGATTGATTTCACATTTGTTAGTGATATTTTCTTATTGTCAGTAGTAATTGATTTAACTGTTATTACGATATGGAAATGTCACATTTGTGTGTCTGTTAATGTTATGTATGTTACCTTGTGGTTTTAGTGTAACGTGACATACTATGAGAGGTTAGATTTAAAAAAAGGAGGTTTGGATCATTCAGACCACCTTCTACCCATGCCAGTCCTTCCTGGTAAGGAGTTTTCTTCTCTTTAGCTCAAAAAGAGAGAAAACCACAATTTTTTAAAAAGAGTGATTGTGTTAAGCGATGTGGAAGTCAGCAGGCAGAAATGTTCAATAGACTGATTAATCTTGCTGTCTTGATTTTTTCCCATATATTTACTATAAATATTTTATTTTAACTCCTATTTTTATGTTCCTCATGTTCACCTCAGTAATTGCTCCTCTTTTGTTTGTACATTTGGAGAACCTGTAGGTTGCTTTCATTTTTCTTATTAAGTATTACACAAGCAAGCAAAGCAGCTCTCTATTTCTTTTAGTCTTCCATCAGACTGCACTTCTTCAAGCTGTCTGCTACATGAATATTACTCTATGCCAAACTCTTGCCAACTTTTGCAAACACACATTGCTGGCTCATGTCCAGCCTCTCATCCACCAGCACCGCCAAATCCTTCTCGCTCACCAAAGCTTTCTGTTCCCCAGGCTCAACAAACCCAGTTCCTCCAGTCTCTCTTCACAGAGCAAGCGCTCCAGCTCCCATCCATGTTGGTGATGCTGTGCCAAACTCTATCAATATCTTTCTTGAACTGTGGGACTAAAAGCTGCATATGGTATTCTAGATCTAGTTTGATGGATGTTAAATAACGGGAGATGATCACTTTCCTTAATCTGCTGTCTGGCTGTGTTATCAAGTCAGCAGATTGAAGGAAGTGGTCACCGCTGACAGGGCACAAAACTGACTCACATTTAGCTCAAGTTTCATCAGGACCCCTCAGGTTTCTTCCCAGCAGAGCTGCTCTCCAGCCAGTCAGTATCCAGCCCATATTTTTTCAGGGAGTACTTCCTTCCCAGGTGCAGCATGTTGGTCTTTGTTGCATTTCCTGAGGTTCCATTCAGCTAAATGAATCTTTTCTTCATAAGAGTGAAATGAAAAAATAAAAAAGGTCAAAATAAGTGTAGCACCAGAACTCAATGAATAATCTTTGTCGTCAGGCAGTTGATCACATTCTTTTGAGTTTTTTGGTACATCTGCACTGTAGTACACAGTGCTGAAAAGTTTGTAAGTCAGGACTCTTTTCAGACCTTCATTTATACATTGTACTTGTAGTCTGTCTCAACACACGATACCTACAAACACTGTCTGCCTTTTGAGAGTCAAGGCTAAGGCTTTCCCTAGGTGGGTCGCAGTAAACATAACCCCTTTTTTGTCTGTCTCCTCTTGGTTATGTTATGTTGCGATAAGAGCAGATAGCCTAAGTGGCAGAGGTTGGTCCAGGAACAGCAAGAACTGTTGCCTCCTCCGTGCGGACAGTCAAGTACTTGGCTAGGTTGGACCAGTAGACTGTGTAGGCACCACCCTTGTAAGTTTCCAAGACCTGACTCAACAAACCCTGGACAAACTGGTCTGAATGGTCTTGATCCTATTG